CCCCTGTCCCAGGGAGTCTTCCACAAGGCCTGGGGTGGTTACCCGTGTCCAACTAACAAGCGGCCTGTGTTCAGTTCATGCCCTGTGTCTGGCCCAGGGCCTGCCTCCAATTTATTCGGAAAAAGTCCTGAAGCCCTGTAATGTCGGTAGGCAGGGCCTGGGCTCGCTCAACCAACTGGCGCTGCGTAACTGTCTGAATTTTACCCCAGTTGCTACCAACACAAAATAGGCGTCTCGTCACTTGGCAGGCCCGCCTTCACTTAGGGCGGCCATGCATGCTGGAAACAGGGCCCCGGTAGGGCTTGCCGAGGATTAGGGCCTCGCAACAAGAATGCTTGAATTTTAAAAGAAAACATAAAAAGAAAATAAAGAAAAGACAACCCCCTAAACTGCAATGCACCTGGCCTCTCTGTTAGCCAGGTTCATGCTGTTAAAACTAACAGCACTTTCACCTTTTCCCCTGAAAGCCGGGAAGGCAGTTGTCAGGTTGGGAGGAGTAGGTCCTCCCTCCTCCTGTTCTCTCTCTCTCTCTAATCCCAACTTCCTCCAGTTCTCCAACTCCTCTTTCCACGCGCGCGATCCAGGCCACAAGATCAGAGATCATGTAGCTACCAATATTCATGTCTCTTGAGAGAAGTGTGGTTCCACACGCTATTGGCTGGCTGGAGGAACCAGCTCGTTTGTTTTCAGTTTTCCCCCCTTTTTTTTTTAATTTTGTTTTACACACACTGCAAAATCCTGCAGCTCGTTCCAACTCCCTCGCCCGTTTCCTTCCATCAACACCCTAAACGGGGCCACCCTTTTGAAACGAAACGGCAGGGAGGTGAAACCAAAAAGAACAAAACAATAAAAACTTCCCTTGGATGAAGCTGGTTGCAGATGTGTCCAGAGCTGAGCCAAATATCCTCTGCTGTAGCCCGTTCTTCAAAACGAATGGGCGCAGAATCCACCTACCAGAGTGCAAAATGAGAATGAATCTTCTGCTAGAAAGGAAATATACACCCCCCATATTTCTATCTTTTGTGCATGTGATCTGGGCCGTTGTTCCTGCTGCCCGAACGAGCAACTTCTGAGGAAAGACGACATGCCAGAAAAAAAAGAAAAAAAGGAGGCAGAACGGAAAAAAGAAGAAAACTTATGCAGTCCTTCGGGACATCCGTTAAAATTGGAACGATACAGAGAAGATTAGCATAGCCCCTGCGCAAGGATGACACGCATAAATCGAGAAATGGTAAAAAAAAAAAGAAAACTTATGCACGTGGTGGTCTGGCTGCCCGTGAGAACAGGCAGCTGTCACTGCTTCCAAGGCCCTTCAGCTCGTTTCTCCATGGCACGCCTATGAACTGTTGAAATACAGACTAGAGTTCGATCCTACTGGAATCGATCTTTAAGAATTTAAAAAATTAAGACCATTTATCGAGTTATGCATGTCATCCTTGTGCACAGGCATTACTGATCTCAGCGTGGTTGATTTCAGCAGAAATCGACTGCAATTTATTGCTTCCGGGTTATGGGCTGTTCCGCAAAAGGAGCCAGCCCAGGGAGGGCGAAGTCGGATTCGATCTCTGCAGCCACAGTGTGACAGTCTGATACGTTATCTACTGGGCTAGCTCCTACTTCAGGTGAAGTAGGAGCAGCTCTTCCATATGAAGAGTTGTGTCCCCAGTGCTCGGCCCGCCCGTGACTTAGCAAGCCCTGCCTGCCTCTTTCATCAAGCTGGTCACTCACACCACCAGACGAGCAGCCAGCATTAGTAGTTGAGCGTGTTAGGTTCCTGTGGCATGTTTAAAATGTATTAGGAATGTGCATAGCTTTTACCCAACTTAGAGAAATTGAGCGGCCCATTCCTTCCAAGCCGTGGCCACGTAGCCATCGCAGCTGTTCTTTTTGGCAGCTCAGGCTCTGAATCGCTTGGCTTAGCAGCTGTGCACCCT